CAGGAGTCCAGAAATGGGAATGGAGTTAAGGGGGGTCAGGAATGCCGGAATTCCCGAAAAAATCCTGGAATTTTGGTGAAATTCCCGCGAAATTCCCAAGAAATTCCGGTGAAATTTGGTGGGAAAATGGTCAAAATTTGGGCAAAAAGCATCGAAATCCAGCCCAAAATGGCCCCAAAAAGACCCAAAATTTCCCCATTTGGGGACATTTGGGGACATTTTGGGGACATTTTGGGCCATTTTGGGGACATTTTGGGCCATTTTGGGGACATTTGGGGACATTTTGGGGACATTTTGGGACATTTTGGGGACATTTGGGGACATTTTGGGGACATTTTGGGGCCATTTTGGGCCATTTTGGGGACATTTGGGGACATTTCGGGGGTCTCAGGTGACATTTTGGGACATTTTGGGGACATTTGGGGCCATTTGGGGACAATTTGGGAGTCCCAGATGACCTTGAAGAGCCCCAGGTGACATTTGGGGACATTTTGGGGACATTTGGGGACATTTTGGGGACATTTTGGGCCATTTAGGGACATTTTGGGGACATTTTGGTGACATTTTGGGGACATTTGGGGACATTTTGGGGACATTTGGGGACATTTAGGGGACATCTGGGGACATTTTTGGGGTCCCCGGTGACATTTTGGGGCCATTTGGGGCCATTTGGAGGTTCCCAAGTGACATTTTGGGAACATTTTGGGGACATTTGGGGCCATTTTGGGGGTCCCAAGTGAGATTTTGGGGACATTTGGGGACATTTTGGGGGTCCCAGGTGACCTTGAAGAGCCCCAGGTGACATTCTGGGGACATTTTGGGCCATTTTGGGGCCATTTGGGGCCATTTTGGGGACATTTGGGGACATTTTTGGGGTCCCCGGTGACATTCGGGGGGTCCCGAACTCACCCTCGAGGAGCCCGAGGAGAAGCCACAGCAACATGGCGGGGGCCATTTGGGGCCAGGACCCCTTCGGCAACTTCCGGACCCCTTCGGCAATTTCCGGACCCTTTCGGCTCTTTCCGACGCCCGGTTCGGTCTCTCCCTCTATTTCCGGTCCGCTCCGCTTACTTCCGGCCCGGTTCCGCTTATTCCGCTTCGGCTTTTTCCGGACGAGCTCGGCTCTTTTCGGCTCGGTTCCGATTCCTCCGGCCTAGTTGGGCCCAGTTGGGCCCAGTTGGAGCCCAGTTCGGCCCAGTTTGGGCCCAGTTCAGCGTCTCCGGCCCCCCCTCAGCCCCCGGCCCGGCCCATGGGCTCCTCCCCCGCCGCAGGAGGAGGACGAGGATGAGGAGGACGAGGAGGAAGAGCCCGGGACGGCTCTGAGGAGCCGCTTCAAGGCATGGCCGGACCCTCAGGAGGGTCCGGTTCGCCTCCGGTTCGCCTCCGGTTCGGCTCCGGTTCGGTTCCGCCGTTCGGCTCTTTCCGTGTCCCGCTTCGGTGGCGCTCGGCTCCGTTCGGCTTTTTCCGGCTCTTTTCGGCTCCGCTCGCTCCCGGCGCACTGCGGCGCCTGAGGGGAGGGGGCGGGACCAGCGCGGTGACGTCATAAAATGGTCGTGGCTCAACGAAGCCACGCCCCCATCCGGAACCGGCCCCTCCCCGGTGTCCCCGGAAGGGTCGCGGTGTCCCCAAGGGTGTCCCCGGTGTCCCCAAGGGTGTCCCAGTGTCCCCAAATCCTTCCCAGGGTCCCCAAGGGTATCCCAGGGTCCCCGAAATGTCCCCAAGTCCATCCCGGTGTCCCCAGGGGTGTCCCTAAGTCACTCCCGGTGTCCCCAAAGTGTCCCCAAGTCCCTCCCGGTGTCCCCAAAGTGTCCCCAGGTCCATTCCGGTGTCCCCAGGGATGTCCCCAGGTCCCTTTCAGTGTCCCCAAGTCCCTCCTGGTGTCCCCAAGGGTGTCCAGTGTCCCCAAATCCTTCTCAGGGTCCCCAAATCCATCCCCAGGTTGTCCCCGTGTCCCCAGAGGTGTCCCCAGGTCCCTCCCAGTGTCCCCAAAGTGTCCCCAAGTCCCTTTCAGTGTCCCCAGGGGTGTCCCCGTGTCCCCAGATCCTTCCCAGGGTCCCCAAAATGTCCCCAAATCCATCCCAGTGTCCCCAAGTCCCTCCCAGTGTCCCCAGGGATGTCCCCAGGTCCCTCCCGGTGTCCCCAAGGGTGTCCCGTGTCCCCAAATCCTTCCCAGGGTCCCCAGAGATGTCCCCAAGTCCCTCCTGGTGTCCCCAGAAATGTCCCGAGGTCCCTCCCGGTGTCCCCAGGTGTCTCTGGGTGTCCCCAGGGTGTCCCCAGGGTGTCCCCGTGTCCCCAAATCCTTCCCAGGGTCCCCAGAGATGTCCCCAAGTCCCTCCCGGTGTCCCCAGGTGTCTCTGGGTGTCCCCAGGGTGTCCCCAGGGGTGTCCCCAGGGGTTTCCCCGTGTCCCCAAGTCCCTCCCGGTGTCCCCAGAGATGTCCCCAAGTCCCTCCTGGTGTCCCCAGGTGTCCCCAGGTGTCTTCTGGGTGTCCCCAGCGTGTCTCCAGGGTGTCCCCAGGGGTGTCCCCGTGTCCCCAAATCCTTCCCGGTGTCCCCAGAGATGTCCCCAAGTCCCTCCTGGTGTCCCCAGAGATGTCCCCAAGTCCCTCCTGGTGTCCCCAGGTGTCTCTGGGTGTCCCCAGGGTATCCCCAGGGTGTCCCCAGGGTGTCCCCAGGTGTCCCCAGGGGTGTCCTCGTGTCCCCAAATAAAGTTCAGACGCTCTGGATTCGGTCTCAGCTTTATTCCGGTGTCCCCAGGTGTCCCCAGCTGTCCCCAGGGTATCCCCAGGGTGTCCCCCGGTGTCCCCAGGGGTGTCCTCGTGTCCCCAAGTCCCTCCCAGTGTCCCCAGAGATGTCCCCAAGTCCCTCCCGTGTCCCCAAATAAAGTTCAGACGCTCTGGATTCGGTCTCAGCTTTATTCCGGTGTCCCCAGGTGTCCCCAGGATGTCCCCAAGGTGTCACTTGTAGAACTCGTGCTCCTGCTCGTCCTTCTTGATGACGGTTTTGTACGCCTTCTCGAAATCCTTGGCCAGCACGATGTACCTGTTCTCCCTGACGGCCAGCATGCCACCCTGGGAATGTCACCTGTGTCACCTCCTGTGTCACCTGTGTCACCTACAGCCACCCCTGTGTCACCTACAGCCACCCCCAGGGTCACCTGTGTCACCTACAGCCAGCCCTGTGTCACCTCCTGTGTCACCTACAGCCACCCCCAGGGTCACCTGTGTCACCTACAGCCAGCTGTGCACCTGTCCCAGCTGTCCCCAGGTGTCCCCACACCTGTCCCAGCTGTCCCCACACCTGTCCCAAGTGTCCCCAGCTGTCCCCAGGTGTCCCCACACCTGTCCCAGGTGTCCCCAGGTGTCCCCAGACTTGTCCCCAGGTGTCCCCTCACCTCCTGGCAGATGGAGTTGATGTCGGCCCCCGAGATCTTGTCCGGCCTCGCCACATCTGGAACCGGGTCAAGGAACCTCCCCAGGTGTGTCCAGG